AAATATAATATATAAAAAGAATATAATTTATTTATAAATAAAGATACTTAAATAAAATATTGTTAAGAAGAAACCACTAAAACAATACACCATGACCAGGTGAGATTTATTCTAGGAATGTAAGGATATTTCAGTTCTTTTTAATATACTATATCATATTAATAGGTCAAATGAGAAAAATGAGAGTTATCTTAATAGGTGTTAAGACATTTGATAAAATTTAAAATCCACTCTTGATTTAAAAATTCAACAATAAAAACCTTTGGGAAAATACAGGTAGAAGACTGTTTCACACACACACACACACATATATATAGTACATATAGTAAGTATTAACCAAAATGGCTCTAAAAATAAAGAATTTTTGGCTGACTTCCCCTTGAGCAATTTGATGGATTAGCCTGCTTCATTCCCTCCATCAGACTGATGGCTACTGCTGCTGCACCCACACACCAGGGGTCTGCTACTTCCTTAAGCTTGCTTCTGCCTGTACCCCACTTGGACTCACCAAAAGTTAGGTGCGTGTTTACACACATCTGTTTATGTCATATTTAGCATTGTAAAATTATATGTTAATTAAAAATTATGGAAAATGTTAAACTGTGAGAGGCAAAAAAATAATTCCCAGGAAAACTGAAGTTGAATCCTTTGAAAGGTTTGAAAAGGATGAGTCATTAAAAAGAACTGCTGTCGGAGTAGGTGTGAGCAGATTAACTAAAATTTGAGAGAGATCCAGTAAAAATTCTGCACTTGGATTGCTTCACTAGAGTCTTAAGTTCCTTAAAGAGACGAACTCAAGAAAGACAGCTTGGATCTCCTGTCATTGTATCCATACTCCCGAGAACAGGCTTTGACCTTTCTTTAAAAGATTGGCATGTGACTGTACGTTTATATATTCTAAACTCAAATGCTTAGGAGATGTACATTGAATTTTTTTTGATGCCCCACCTAAATCTACTTTTAGCCAGCAGACTGTATGTATGAATGTGTGTGTGTATATATATGTACATATATATATACATACATATGTAAACGTACATATATACACGTA